TCCAATACCTTTTCATTTAATGTATCACACGCTCCAATCAGACCAATATCAACGAAAAATCGATATAGTGCCTCTTAGGCAATGCTGTCATGTTTGTTTTTATCTGTTAACCTAGGTGTTCAGTCCTTAGTTTTGGTTAAGTTCATTCTGAGGCCCACCTTCGAACATGCAAAGTCCAATTCATTTAACATATCGGTGGCTTCTCCTAAATTATTTGTGATAAGGACAAGATCATCTGCGGAAATGGTCAACTTGCTTACACCCGTCATATTACTTTGTCTTTTCAACAGTATCAGAAACAGCAGAAACCGAAGGATTTTCCTTTTTTGTTTTTTAGACGTTTGACAGTTATAAACTTTGAATCACATTGTATTTTTGTAGTTTTAATATATAACCACAACTCAATACCTTTTATTATAATATAAAACTAATCAAACGTTTCCTTCAAAGGTCACGCTTTGATAAGACGAATATTGCCAAGTGAACGAGACCTATTGTAGATTATAATAATAGATCTTAGATTCCAAGTCTTCCTTATATGATAAACAATCTTCTTTCTTTTAATTATTGTTGTGACGTAACAAATCAGCCTTGTGCAGAGATAGTGAAAGCGTACGCAAGCAAGAAGATTATATTTTATATGATAAAATAATCATTATATTACATGTATTACGTAACCAAACCAGGAAACTTTTGAGAGATAAGCCATAATAAATATTAGGCAAAAGCGTTATTCAAGTGAATCAAAATCTACAATAACGTGAATTCGATCTGTAATATTATATTTTATAAATCAATATACATTTATATTTTACATATGAATATATGAACTTATGATGCCTTCTCCAAAGTATACATAAGTCAAACATGAAGAAGCTTTAAACAAATATAGCGGAACTAAAGTCCTTTTAGCCTATGACGGCCGATATGATTGTAATTAAGATATGATCAGTGGGGCGTAAATATTTAATTCCTGTCGCTTGAAAAGTAAAACATTTAATTTCCTGTATTTTATGTTCAGTAATAATATTGGATTTTACTGTATCAAAGCCAAATAAAATGAATATAATATGTATATACAGGGCGTGTTAAAAGAAGTGGGCGGAATATTTCGAATACTTGAAATTATTTGTCGACATCGAATATTAATCAAGGTCTCTATAAGTCTCTATTTTTGTCAAGTCAAATAGCTAGTATGTCCAAATTTGAATAAAATATATCCAAGGCTTTACTTTCTGCAGACACTGCATTAAATATAACCTTGAAACAAATTGGCACATCACTTCCGACTTTTGAGCAAAACAAAAGGTTTTAAACACGTCTAGTCCAGTAATTAATACCAAAGCTATTGAGAGTATGTAGTCCAGTAATTAGACCGGAGGTACATTATCGTTTAACTAAAACACACTCACAAAGTCCGAATTGAATTCCCAAAACATGCAGTCCCTTTTTTGGTACTTCTTTTAGCAACCGATTTGTCCTATTCACTGTCTGATATGTCACTATCAGAGTCGTCACTATCTGAATTGTCTATCCGAATAATTAGATGCCGGACCTCATCTATAATATATGTCTCTCGGTTTGAAAAGACTGAACGATTATGTCTTATACAATTTTGCCATTATTCTGCCTTTATTTGTTCTAGGGATTCTAGTTATCGATTCTAGCGTTATCTGTTGTTTTGGATGCATGTTTATCATAAAAATTTTTGGCTATACCCCAAACTAACTCAATTGCATTATAGTGGCAATGGTAGGGCTGAAGTTGAAGAAATTCATGGCCATATTAAGAGACATTTGGTCAGTAACAAATTTCTTTTGAATTTTGTGCTCACCACACCTTTGAAGTAAATCGACTTTTAAAAAAGTCTCTTGCTTACTTTATTTATTTCATCCTCACTCATGTTAATAATTCTTTGGAATGTCCTCTCTGAGATACCGTAAGCATCGCATATGGAAGGGTACTCTTAACGTCAATTTTTCAATGCCGTATAACAATATTGACCATACATAGCATTTAACCATCCTGTAGGGGAGATTGAAGGAAAGATTGCGGTTACATAGTAGCAGTTTAAATTTGATAAAAGCTTGTCTTGATCTTGTACGGCCTATTTACGGCTTATTTCTTGTTGAGGATCCCATTGGTCATTCATCATCATTCCCAAGTATTTAAATGTTTCTACTTGATCGATTGGAGCACCATCTACTTTCAGTTGTATTCTTAAAAGTGCGTCTTTTCTTATTACCATGCATTTAGGTTTTCCAACATTTATCTTCAATCCATATATTTCTCTTACGGTGTTTGTTTTACTTAATATTAACTGCATATCATGTTCGTTGTCTGTTATTATCGCAGTGTTGTCGGCGTAACCAATGTTATTTATCGGGAACCCGTTGACCTTTATTCCACACTCAGAGCCTTCCAGTGCCTCTGCAAAAATGTTCTCTACATAGAGATTGAAGAGCATAGGAGACAAAATACACCCTTGTCGCACCCCTCTTAAAATTTTAAATTTTTTCTGTGTTGGTTGATTTATTCAGTCTCACTCGTGCTTTTTGATTCCAATAGAGATTCTGGATAACTCTTATATCTTTCTCGTCAATGTTAGCGTTGTGTAACATTTTTATCATTGCGTCATGTTTTACGGTGTCAAACTTTTTCGTAATCGAGGAATGTTATGACTACATCCTTTCGTTGATCCATGCAGTTTTGTACAAGCGTATTCAAGCAGAAAGCTGCTTCACATGTACCTCGTCCGCTCTTGAAACCAAATTGTGTCTCACCGCTTAGATCTTCCAGCTTTCTGAACATTCTTGTGTGAAGGATGCGAAGTTTATTGAGCAGATGGCTCAATAAACTTATCAGTCTGTGGTCTTTGCATTTTGTCGCTCTTTCTGATTTAGGGATCATTATAAAGGTTGAATAAAGCCAATCCGTTGGAATTTCAAACCTAAAGAAGGATAAACATATGAAATAAGACAGAATTAATGTTGATGATCTGCGCATTCAAACCATTGTGGGAGAGTATAGCAGACAACTGGATGAGGAAATAGAGAGCCTGGAAACGGGTGAAATGTGGAGGCATTATGGACAGTATGTAAAAATATAATAACTGAGAAGGCATCGGAAATATTGGGGAAAACAAAACCAGTTAGACAAAACGAATGGTTTGGCGAGGAGTGCCAAGAAGCAACACAAAACAAAAATAGAGCATACCTAAAGACAAATCCAACTAGATGCACAAGAATAGCAAAGAGACGCTAAGAAGGAAGAAAAAAGATTACATAAAGGCAATTTGAAGAAAAGCAAGAAGACGCATTGAAATAGCAAGATCTGGTTTCATGAATATGCGTAAAATACTCTGTATTTTACGCATATTCATCATACCCAAGCTATCAGTCTCAATAAGATTGAGAACACTAAAGTGTTATGTGTGGTCTCTTATTACTATATTGGCTGTGAGACCTGGACATTAACAGTATGACGTTAACAAATTAAATTCATTTGAAATGTGGATGTACTGCTGAATGTTAAGAATAAGCTGGATCAGCAGAACTATGAATGAAGAAGTACTGGGAGTAATGAATCTGGCCCTCATCTGGTTAATACTATCAAAATTAGAAAGACGTCATATCTAGACACATAATGCGCCATAGGAAATTTGAGCAGCTCCAGGTAATATTAGAAGGCAAGATTGAAGGTAAAAGGGCATAGGACGAAAGAAAAAATCATGATTACGAAACATCAGAGATTGGACCCACACAAGAGGAAATGAATTAATTTATCAAGCCGAGAACAGAAAGAAAAGCAGTTAGAACAGCTAAGAAATCAAAACGAAACTCGAAATTTCTACAAAAAATGATAAACAAAATGAGTAAAGAGTTTAAGCCAAGAATAGGGAGCTGCAAGGATGGAGAAGGAAATATCCTACGTAATACGCCCTCTTGTTTCATATCCTAAGGGATCACATATCCTAAGTGTTACCCGAAAATATGGTATTAAGATATCACCCAAATTTTCAAACCAAAATATTGTTCACACGTCCGATTGGGATCTTATAACACTCACTAAATATCTTCCAGTTATTCGATAATCTTTCAAAACCTGTTTTTTATATAGATATAGTTCCTATATACTGATAACAATTTTTCAAGGATTTTGTTTTGATGCTACACCTTTAAAAATTTAATTTTTTTTACTGGTATTCTACGTAAACTTTACACGTGTGCATCAAAGATTAGTAGATGTTAACTAACCGAAAAAAAGAATATTCATATATTCAGAAAATGGAAAAAATGCAGTTTCAAATTTAGTAAATTTAGTAAATTTTGGAACTGCATGCAGATATTTTTATCTTAAAATCGTTCACGTTATTAAATAAATTCCTACTTAAATACATTACATTTAAATAGTATTTAACGAAATATATTTAAAAGTTAAGGTTCTTTATTCTGTTAGATTCAACAAGGATTTAAGTCAAGTGTTTTTTTATATCCGGTTCAAAGGACCAATGTAATTTGTGGTATATAGATGTAAATTTATATTTGAAACTGGCGACGTCGTAGATAATTTAAAAACTTTGAAATGTTTCAAAAAGTGAACAACTAATTTATAGTGATATCGATATGACAATGGTTAGTGTATTTGAACTTCAGCAATTTTTTCTTTTCGGCGGTGTTCTCGTTTGGCAATCTGATAAATTTGTGCCGTTAAATTTTATCTATTCTCGCAGTTCTTTCATTCTCTTATTTAATGAGAGCAAAATTGCTTTTGCAGATTTCTCAAGGACAAGAGAATTTGTCAGCTGCGACATTAGTGCATAAAATCTAACGCATAGTGGTGAATTTTGTAAACTCGACTAGAAGATAAATCTTTCCTGGACATACAGAATTTTTCATAGAGTTTGAGTGAAATACTTATTTTATTTTTTTTACAAAACTTCTCTTCTACCATCACCTTACTACAAGTTGTGTTTTACGATATTTTTTCTTTTATTTCAGATAACCAGTACGGAGGTGTTACAATCTTTCATAGACAGGATTAGCGAAGTGAATTCTGTCCTAAATTGCGTCGTTGCTGATAGATTCGAAGAAGCCAAAAAGGAAGCTCAAAAAGTTGACGAACTGATAGCCTCGGGAGTTGTTCCCGAAGAAAAGCTTGCTCAGGAGAAGCCGTTTTTGGGTGTTCCCTTTTCGACCAAGGACTGTATTCCTGTCAAAGGTGAGTGTCAATAAACAATTTATTTTATATAGAATATACAACTTTTTTACAAAGGATGGTCTACTTTATACTATCGTTGACACGTCTTTCTGGTAAGGATTAATGAACTGAGTAGCACCGAGACCCAAGACTCCATTTTTTACCGAACCGATTTTCCATAGACCGACTCGTTGCACAGGCGTATTGAGTTGCAGATATATCTTGATCATGTATTACTACGTTAAAGTGTGTGTTTGTCTGGCACGCCGAAATTTGATCCATGAACCATTGAGGATTAACAAAAATAAACAGGCTATAGTTGGAGAGTACCAGGCAAGCTTCAGGTGCGCCCAATCACTACAAAATAATATATTCACACTAAAGCAATTACTAAATAGTTGTTATGAACACAGAGAAAACAATTGAAAAAATATAAAAATGATGTGCTTAAAGCAGAACCTGTGAAACATACAAATTAATAGCATAAAGAACAAAGAAGGAGTGGAGACCAACAATATAAAAGAAATTTTACAGATAACGCACGAATATTATACAAATCTCTATAAAACAGAACAAAAACCAACCCAAGAAATCCATAATCAGTTACAACTGAAAATAAAGAACGTTAACTCTGACCTACAACCAAAAATCAGTAAAAATGAAATAAAGAAAGGCACTCAAAGAAATGAAGAATAACACATCTCCTGGGAAAGATGGAATAACTGTGGAAATGCTAAAAAATGGGGGAAAACCACAGTGGAAGTCCTTTATGTACTAATGAATAAACTATTGAACACAAAACAAATACCCACCACATGGATCGAGGCAATAACACTATTACTATTTAAGAAATGCGATAGAAAAGATCTGAAAAACTATAGGCTCATAACGCTACTTAATGTACAAACTGTTAGCTAAACTACTAACAAACAGATTAACAACTAAGTTAGATAATTACCAGTCAAGAGAGCAAGCCGGTATTAGAAAAAGGATTCAGTATAAGCACCATCTGCTTACGATAAAAATATTAATTGAAAAGGACAACGAAATATCAAATCCCAATGTATATGGCATTTGTATACTTTGAGAAAGCATTCGATAAGGTGGATAAAGCCATCAGACGGGATATTAGAAAATACAACAACGAGAAAATTATAAAAACTATAGAAGACAACAAAAGCATGAAAGCATTGAGGAGAAAAATGGAAAATGGCACAAAAGAAATCTTCCAACTTAAAGACAAAAATGGAAATATGATCTCAGATAGACCAAGCATATTACATATAGTGGAAAGTTTCTATGAAACATTATATAAAAGTCAAGTTATTCCAGAGCTCATCGAACAACCAATACAAAAGGTACATAATGTAGGATCGGAGGATATACCAGATATATCACGAGAGGAAATTCAACATGCCCTCAAAAACATGAAAAATAATAGAGCTCTGCGGGAAGATGGTGTAGTCATTGACACAATTAAACTAGGAGCTCCACTTTTGATGTTCCGAATCCAAACACTTTTTAATCTATGTCTGCATAGTGAAAACATTCCAAGTAAATGGAAGAATTCGGTTACAATCCTCCTCCACAAAAAAGGGGATAAATCAGATCTCGAAAACTATAGGCCAATTAGTTTGCTTAACCACCTATACAAGCTCTTTACTCGAATAGTGACAAACAGATTAGAAGCAAAACTCGATTTCTATCAATCAGAAGAACAGGCAGGATTTCGAGCGGGACACGGAACAAACGACCATTTGCAATGCCTTAAAACTCTACTTGAAAAGTCTATCGAATATAACAGACCCCTTGCTCTTATCTTTGTCGACTTCCACAAAGCATTTGACACAGTCGAAACAGTTGCTATCTTAAAAGCACTATCAGAATGCAGAAAAGATCACAGGTATGCAAATATTATTCGAAATATATACGAAAATGCGACAACAACCGTTAACCTCCATTGCATGACTGAGAAGATAAAAATTGGCAGAGGGTGCTGCAGGGAGATACCTTATCGCCAAAACTATTTATAAACAGTTATGGAGTACGCATTTAAACGGCTAGAGTGGGAATCAAAGGGTATTAGCATCGATGGAAAGATATTCAATCATCTCAGATATGCCGATGATATTGTTCTCATAACAGACAACTTAGGAGAAGCCAGAGTTATGCTACAATACAATACAATAACTACAGCAAGTAACCCAGAAAGTCCCCAATGAGCTAATAGAAAAATATGTGTATTTGGGTCACGAAATAAGGTTAACGCGAGATAACCAAACATGCGAGCTAATCAGATAAATAAGTCTGGGTTGGGCCGCATTCGGAAAAATGAGAGACGTATTTTAAAACAAATATACCGATCCGTTTAAAAAGAAAAGCTTTTAACCAGTGCGTTCTACCAGTCCTCACATACGGAGCAGAAACCTTAACTCTCACAAAAAACATCAGCCGAAAAATTGAGAAGGACACAACGAAAGATGGAGAGATCAATGCTTGTAATAAGCTTAAGAAATAGAATAAGAAACGAGGAAGTTCGTAAACGAACCGGAGTGGAAGGCATTATCGAACATATTACAAGGCAAAAATGGAGATGGGCAGGACATGTTGCAAGAATGAAAGACGACAGTTGGACAAAAAAATTGCTTGAGTGGAGACCACGGGCTGACAAGCGAAGCCGAGGAAGACCCCCAACGCGATGGACCGACGACCTCAAAAGAATCGTGACTAATTAGATAGCAGAGGCGCAGAACAGAAGTAGATGGAAAAGTCTAGAGGAGGCCTATGTTCAACAATGGACAACTCAGGGCTGATTGATGATGATGAAGGTGGAACATTGGGCAGTAAAGAATTCTTTACAAAATGGGAGAATAGACTATAGATATACGGAGTTAATTTACAATATATATGATCAAGAAACAACATCCATTAAAATAGTTGAACAAACCGAGACTATTAAGATATGGCGAGGAGTCAGACAAGGTGACACTATATCACCCAAACTATTCAATCAAGCTTTGGAAGACGTTATGAGGAAATTACATTACAATTATGGGAAAACGGGATATTAACGGGGGTATAAAAACGAACAACTAGTTAAATTAAATAAAGAAAATCAGACCGGACAAATAAAGAGAACGATACGGTTGGCTTGGGTATCCTTCAGAAAACTTTTCTATATACTAAAAAAAAGAAAATACCCCTAATATTTAAAAACAAGAGTCTTCAACCAATGTATATTTCATGTTCTCACATACTGTTCTCAAACTAGGACGTTTACAAAGGGAAACATGGAAAAATAGCAAAGATCCAAAAGAGCCATAGAAAGGCAAATGCTGAACATAAGGCTATCAATGTGACATGCTGAACAAAAGTGACCGATGTATCAACGCAGATAACAAAACTTAAGTGGAAGTTCGCTGGACATACCATAAGACAGAAAGACGACAGATGGAATAAGATGATAATCATTGGAGACCATACAGTTACAATCAAAAAAGAGGAAGGACCCAAATGAGATGGTCAGATGACTTAAAGAAACACGCAGGCCAGAAGTGGATACAAACTGCCTATAATAGAGAGACGCGGAAGAAGGAAGGCCTATGTCCAAAATTGGACAGCAAGGGCTGTATAGATAGTTATGCACACAACCTGACCATACATGCGTTGTTAGTTTACTGCAAACAGGCCTACAATAGAATTCCACTATTTGATTTAGTTTAAAAAAATATTCTATAGAAAGGAGTCCTTCTAACTAGATTACAAAAAAAGTTCAAAATTAGAACCAGAAAACTGGAGAAAATGACTATGTTGACTAACTAGGTACTTTTATATCACTTATATCATTTTTTTAGTTTAATTAAAAGTAATTTATATACAAGGAAAAAAACTGTGTGTTCCGTAAACATTTTGATGTGTGTATATAATCGCATATCCACTTAATACCATAAATATATTGGAAAAATAGTATAAATAGACAAATAATCGCTTATCTATTAGATTAAATGCCTTTTACCACTTTCCGTATCGATCGAATTCTGTTTATTCTCATAAAATGTAGACACACAATTGAAAAATACCCCTAGCGTATAATCACCAGTATAGTAAATTCCAATAACGATGAATTTACAGGAAAATATGGAAACGTATTAGAGGCGAAACGATCGATAGCCGACGCCGTTTTAACTCTGGTAACGCCATGGAAAGTACAGGGCGGAGGAAATTAAAGTCAGATCTCTGGTCTTGGACCTTACTGTACAAGGTGGAAGAAATAATAAATATTCAAATATCCGATCTAGAAAGCTGTTAGGAACATTTAGAAGGTCTTTGCACTGATTATGTTCATTACATTTGATCTTCTTCTTAGAGTGCCTTCTTCCTGCGGAGGTTGGCAATCATAATGGCTATTTTTATTTTTGAACTTGCTGCTCTAAACAAATCAATCGATCTGCATTGATACCAATCACGTAGATTCCTCATCACGTGGCCTAGGTATTCCAGTTTCATGGTTTGTATTAATTTGGGTTCAAATTTGTCCCGGTCCACTTGGGCAAGGCTTAATCGTATACGTACCGGACATGGTAAATGTGCTGATTCGCTGTTCAGTGGGGTCGTGCTGAAATTCACAGTGCGATTGCAGACAATCTAGACAGACCATAAGCCATTGTGTTTCAGACTTTTTGAATCGTGCCTACCGTGGAAACCTCCAAGACTTTGCGGAATGTTACCCAGAAGCAATTGAATGAACTATGTAAATTGGACATTAATATTTAGTGTCATTCATTCTATCTTTAGTGTTAAAATAATATATTTAATATATATGTATACAGGGTGAGTCATGAGGAACTTAACATACTTTCTACCATATGTAGAGTCCCTCAGGGAGCATATCATGTGACCACTAAAAAATGTCAACTCCTCTTCTTTATTAATTAACAGGGTGATTTGTGTAATTGACCATTTATTTCATTTTACTGTAGTGTTTATAACGGCTCATTTGATTTTTTAAATTTTTGCATGAT